CCAGCTCTGAGCCCCTCTTCATCATCAGTTTGGCGTTAATGCGCTTCTGGACGACAACGTACGACACCTGTGGCTCGTAATTGTTGAACGCTTTGCCAAAGTCGAGCACTGAATTCATCAGTTGCTGGACTTCAAAGTTATAGACGGTGTGTAACTGTCCGTCACTGACACCGTCCCTGTAGACGAAGATTCGCTGCGGGAGACTGTTGTTCACCTCATAGAACTTCTTAAGGCACGCAACGATTCCCGACTCAATGGTATTGACGATCTCTGTGTGCGCGTTCTGGAAGAATACGCGCGAATACCATTGGCTGACCGCCTGATTGACGGACGCAACCATTCCGACGACCGACTTTCCCTTCTGTGTCGGGTCGTGATAGACATCAATGCCTACAATCATACACGACTTGAAGGGAATCGGTAGAGCCCACGGCTGACCACCGACTTTGCACGACATCTGAATTGCGATCTTTTGGCAAACAGAGCGCATCTTCGCGTCGGACAGTGTGTTGGCTCTGACCACTTGGTTAGGCATTCCGAGCTCACAATAACACAATCGTTTGATTGCGTTGTATCGGTCTTCGCGTTGAGAGGAGCCGGGAGTCATACAGACAATGATCTGAGCCTGTGATACGTTGGCGCCTTTGATGGCATTGATATAACTCGCGGGCATATCATTGTTGGCCACCAGTTTGTCGGGATCGCCGAACGTAAAGCCCATCATTCGGGTGACGGCCTTCAATGTCTTCACAAATTCGTCCACTTTGGCCGCGTCTCTCTGTGTGAACACAATCACCCATTTGTTGATATTGATTGTGTGGAAGAGAGCGTTATTAGTGGCATCGCGGGCCCAGTCAGCCTTGGGTCCGACGGGCACCGTATGGCCGTTGCCCAACACGATCTTGTCGGCCATCATAGTGCGGCCCTGTGTGTGGTATGGCTTGTCGTCCATATCCAAACCCCAATCGGTTAAGAACTTCCGGGCATTTGGATTGTTGCGGACGTTATCAATAAACTCTTGGAGTTTAGCCATTCTTATGGTTGGTTTGATCCGTGTATGAGATGCGATGTCTCGCATCACTCGATTGTCCGCACGGATATCATCTGTCAAACCTGTCATATAACAGATCTCTGGGATGAGACATATCATCTGCATATCCTTTTGGGGACAAAAAACAAATACAATCAAAACAAGGTTTGCAAAGGTTATGATTAGACACTCACTGACGCCTCTTCTCCTCTGCGAGGTTTGGGTCTGTGGACCAGCAATGGCTGCTTCAGGTCTTTGATGTCCACCTGCCATGACTTCTTGAAGTACTCAACATAAGTGACTGGAGTTCCGTTCCAATCAAAAGTGGACATTGGGTTCTGCGAGAAGTCGATGTCATCCACGCGATAGGGTTTGTTGTTATAACGGGTCAACACAATACAGCCGACCAGTCGTTTCTGGGCGTACTCTTTGAAGCGCTGCTTTCCATCGGGAGTTCTGAACAGGTCTTGCAGCACATCTCTGGCGGTCGACGTGCGAAGCAATCGATGGGAAGCGTCGCAGACCAGCAGCAGTCCGTCATCGAGTTCTTGGACGGCCTGCGCCCAACCCGGCCATATCTCCAGCTTATGCTGCGGGACCTCTATTTTGGCCAACGGGTCGTAATAGTGGCGCTGAATTTGCACCAGTTTTAAGGCACGAAATATCTTTCGTATGATTGTGTTGTAAAATGGCATCAATTCATTGGCGGGCGGTATCTTCACAAACTGCAGCTCCACTTTGATGGCCGACCCGTCGATCGGTGTCGTCGTGTCAATGGTCTGGTCCTCCACTTTGTGATTGAGAAAGAGATTCATTCCCGTGAACTGATAGACGGGTCCGATCTTTTCGGCCACTTCTGTCTGCTTTAAGATCTTTGCCCTCAACTGTCGCGAATCGATTTGAGGCTTGAAATAGATGTGATATTCAAAGATCCCAATGCTTTGACTCTCTTTCTTGAGTTTGATGTAATTGAGAATCAAATTAATGGGATTGCCATCAGTTCCGCGCTGTTTGTTGGCGATAGAGTCGGGCTCTTGCGGAGCCATACGGACGGGTTCGTCGTCATCGATGGTCAGACTAGCGATTCCTCCTTCGGGTGGAGACCCGACCGGACCTGAAGGCGACGGCTGTCCCGACGACGAACTGGAGGACGACTCGGTTCGCGGCGGCGATTGTGTGCGTCCGACGGGTGGCGGCAAATTGGACAGGAATTTGCCTCTTCCGCGACCGACAGTCGGCACAA